TTGGCAAAAGGAGTGGGGGACTCCTGATGGAGTATATGGCCCAGGGACCCCCGGCCTACATACTTCCTCTACTACAATCAGGCCCAATAGGCCCAAACGGGCCAAGCCCAGCAAAATGGAGCTCTAAGCAGCCCACAATACGCAAAGGGGTGCCTTCGGCCCTATGGCCGAAGGCTACCAGTGACGGAATCGAGCTTAGAAACATCACAGGAGAACAATGCTTGAAAACCAAGCCTTCGGCAACTCATCAGCCCTCGGCAGATAGGAGCCCTCGGGTAGAAGAGGCATCACAGGAGAACACGCCTTGAAAACCAAGCCTTCGGCACCTGCAGCCCTCGGCGGGTAGGAGCCCTCGGTTAGAAGAGCCTTCGGCCCAGCACCCTTCAGCCGAAGGCATCCACCTCGACAGAATATCCTCTTCACATGCGCCTGGATCACCGTACCAAGTACAAACGTCACATCCAACCACCGCATTTAATGCGGCCACATGCGAGTGCCAATGCCACCCCGGTCGAGGTGACCCCTCGACCACCAGAAAACTGACACGTGTCCTTATCTAGCATTTATTACTGCTATAAATAGCACCCCTTTCCCCCATTGTAAACCACGCTCAATACATATCGAATATACACACTCTCTCTTACTTATTTGCTCTGACTTCTCTCTAGTTATTCTCCGCAATAACCCCTCGGATAAGCTACCCCCCGGGTACACTATCCATCATTCACATAGGCTGAATTAATTGATTTACTGAGAATGATGAATTGAGACTAAAATTTATATATATAAATTATTTTGACTACTACACAATTCACGCTTGAAATAAAATATTGTGTATTTAATAAAAAAATTGAAAACATATGGAATAGATAAGTGTGCCAGCTATGAAAAAGAAAAGTAAATGGATTATTTTATTTGTTGTTGCAGCTGCTCTTTGTTGTTGACTTGACTAAACAAATGACTTTTGCATCTCCATCGATCAATTTTCTGTTTTACTTTCGAAAAGAATTCTCTCGAGACTAATTATATTTATTGTTGTCAGGGCGGTTGATGGAGTATATGGGTCCAGATCCCATGACCCACATACTCAGAAGAATAAGAGGAGGCACAACTGTCACCCAGTGGGTCTTCCGTCGGCCAGATGGCTCTCCATCGGTCAGAAAGATATCAACTCAGAATACGATCCAGAAGCCAGGAGAACCAGGGTGTCCCCGTCGGTCGGGTCTCCGTCGGCCACAGAGAGCTCATAGAGCTGGACTTCATACTTAGCTAGTTTTGCATACTTTGTATTCGGCTCATTAGAGGTCTCATTGTAACCGGGCCTCCCAAGCCCAAGACTTGGGAGCCCATCCCATATTTTTCCCTATAAATACTCCCCTTGGGGGTAGTTGTAAGGAGTTGCGAATACATTAATTGCATATTTATTGTACTTCTCTTTCTAGCTCTCACTTTTCTCTAAGAGTTAATACTCTATCATTTGGTGCTCTTGTGAAGGCGTCGTCGTCCTAATCTCCCCTGAAGGATTCAGAGCTTACTATGCCATCCGCTTCAACTTCAGGGTGTCCAACGAAGTCGAGTATGAAGCCCTCCTCAGCAGCCTCAGACTCGCAGCTGGCCTCAAAGTGCGACACATCTGAATCAAGTGCGACTCCAAACTGGTTGTGGGCCAGATCAAGGGCTCGTATGAGGCCAAGGAAGGTAGGATGAGGCAATACAAGCAAGCAGCTGAAGAATTGCTCAAGGCATTTGAAACCCATGAGATCACATATATCCCAAGGGCGGAGAATGTCGAGGCTGACATTCTCTCCAAACTCAGCACGGACACCCCGAAGCACATCTCCAAGATAGCCAAGATCGAGGAGCTTAGTATGTCCAACATCCATGTCAGCCCGATCATGTGCATTCAACAACGCCCGGAGGACTGGATCTGCGACATCATGACCTTCATCACTTCGGGAGGGCTACCCCAGGACGAGGAGAGGGCCAAACTAGCCAAGCTCAGGACCCCAAGCTACACCATTGAGGGCGTGAAGCTCTACAAAAGATCCTACAATGGCACTCTCCTCTGATGCCTGCACCAGGATGAGGCAGAAGTGGCCATGGAGGAAATACATTGCGGCGTCTGCTCCTAACACCGTCTCGTCGTCCAAGGCTATTTCTGGCTGACAATGGCACGGGATTGTGCTAACCTTGCAAGGAAGTGTATTGCATGCCAAGTACTTTAGAAGGCCCCTGGTCAGCCAGCCGTCAATTACACCCCGGTCACCACTGCAATCCCATTCTCAAGATGGGGGATTGACCTGGTCGGCCCCTTGCCAAGAGCCACTGGCAACAACCGCTACATCATCGTATCAGTCGACTACTTCACCAAATGGGTTTAAGCGGAGCCTTTGGCCAACATCACGGGAGCCAGGTGCCAGAAGTTCATCCTTAAAAACATCCTCATCCGCTTCAGCGTCCCTCAAAAGATCATATCCGACAACGATACTCAATTTGAAGCTGCACCCTTCCAGGAACTCCTCCAAGCATGGGGAATCAAACATCGTTTCTCTTCCGTTGCCTACCCTCAAGGTAACATGCAAGTTGAGAACGCTAACAGAACCATACTGGAAGGCCTGAAGAAGAAACTTGAGGTTGCAGGAGGCATTTGGGCCGACGAGCTCCCCAACATTCTATGGTGCTACCGTACCACGCCGAGGAGGGCGACGGGCGAAACGCCTTTCGCCCTATGCTATGGCTTTGAGGCAAAAGCACCCACGGAGGTCACCATACCCAGCAGACGGGTTGAGCAATATGAACCCGATGCTAATGAGGAAAACATGAAGATCGACCTCCACATGGTCGGAGAGAGACGCGAGCAAGCCTACATTCGGGCAGACAACTACCGGCGTCAAGTAAAATCATACTATGACGCCAAGGTATGTTACCGAGAATTCCAAGTGGAGGACTACGTCCTCCACCGAAGGGAAGCAAGCAAGCCGACGGAAGGTGGCAAGTTAGCCCTGAAATATGAAGGGCCCTACATCATCAGTGCCGTGATAAAAGCCGACACCTACAAACTTAAACACCCAAATGGGTCTAAAGTACCACGAACGTGGAATGTACATCACTTGGTGAAGTTCTATCAATAATTCGAAGGAGGCGCAACCGACATAGCCCTCACCCCTTAACTGGTTATTGATTGATTACCACCCTCGGCCTCGAGCCACTTATTAATGAAAATTGTGTTTTCCTTAATTCTTGTGAACTTAGGAAAAGAATACCGCACATCGTGTCGACCCCTTAGAGCTAAATGCTCAGGTATGGCCGACAGAGCACATCATATCGAACCCTTAGAGCGAAACGCTCAGGTATGGCCGACGATGTCCCAGGACGAAGGTCCTACAAAATGGCCCGCGTCTTGAAACGGGAAGCTCACCGCATCGTCCTCGCGCTAAATCGCAGGACGACAGACCTGAAAGAATGACCGAGGTGACAAAATCCCCAAACTTTGGGTTGGGAAACGACAGCCGTCGGTAACCGACTAAAAGCCTGAGCCCGCGCCGTAAATAGACGACGGGACCCCCCAAGATTAAGTGATGATCCAGCAGGACTCCCTACCGGCCAAGGGAATAGTAACCCCCTCGGCCGAAGCCTGAAAGAAGGATACCCACTCCTCGCTCAAAGAAGTAAAGAGGAAGAAAATAAAAAAGGGACAGTCGAAGGACCGTGCACTCGCCGACCTCGTGCAAAATCCCCACAAAATAAAAGAGGGACAACCGAAGGACCGTGCAATCGTCGGCCTCGTGTAAAATCCCCACAAAATAAAAGAGGGACAGCCAAAGGACCATGCACTCGCCAACCTCATGCGAAATCCCCACAAGAAAAGAGGGAAGCCGACGGACCGTGCACTCGCCGGCCTCGAGCAATAAAAATAAAATCCCCACAAACCAAGCCACATATTTGGCTAAGTACATATCAGGCAAATTCTATGCAGTATGGACGAAGCAAGCCCATACATGCGAACCACACAAATGTCCCCAGAGTTAACGTACGAATGCCCCCCCCCCCCCCAAAAAAAAAACACCGGACGAACATCCTCAGCATGATTCCATATCCAAGCCTGGTTCTAGATGGGTATTGGACGAAGCATGCACGCACAGGCTACCCCAAACCACTTGGAAAAACTCCCAAGTGACATTTACTTGGCCGACGAAGGCCACAGGGAAGACGACGCAGACTCAACAGATTTGTGGGAAAGGATGAAGTAAAGGAAAGCAACTACCTGGTCCCAGCTAACACTTAGAAATACTTCGAAGTACGAAATTACAACAGCAATACAGGGACGGGGACGATGAAGTAAACACTAAAGCTAAAGAAGATAAACTAAACCTTTGCATTAGAATTTCAAATTACAAAAGGGACGCACATCGGCCATTACATTTTAGTGGGCTCACTGGCCTTTACTGGTCTGGCACTGCGGCCGTTACACTACACCATAATGAAGGAAAAAAACATATAAAGGGAAGGGGAATCAAGCTTCCTGCTCAGCCTCGGCAGCTCCACCATCACCAGTCTCTCCTCTGATTTGATCATCATCGGCCTCAGCACCGGCTCCCTCAACATCAGCGGTTATAGATGCAGTTGTGTCCTCCACCAGGTCATCATCGCTCCACTCATCCTCGCCGACGTCGGAGCTCAAGATTGGGGCATGCCTTTCCTCTACAGGGAGTTGGAGTTCGGCCTCCGGGTCCTTCATCCTCCGGGTCCTTCATCCTCCGGGGCAGCTTCAGGTTGCGAGCAAATTTCTCCGTAAGCCCCAGCTCCTGGCAACGCCGGCGCAACCTCCGGTAGATGAGCCGTTGCATCCGCTGCTGGCCGATGTCATAGAACGCCTTTATCTCCCTCTCCCAGAACAATTGGCCGGCAGCACTGTGTAGCGTCCAATCCTCGAATCTGGCCGCCAAAACATCAAAGCACCAAGCCCGGTGCTCGTCAGCTTTCCAGCCATCATCTAGAAACTTCTCGATGGCAGCCTCAACAGCTTGCTCGGCCTCGGCTTTGGCCTTCTCGACCTCATCAGCACGACAACGAGTAACCTCATGCGCCTCTTTCTCTTCGGCGAGTTTCTTGAGGGCATCGTCCCTGTCGGCGGTCAACTGGAGAGTGGCTGCGTCGGCATGATCAACCCTCTTCTTCAAGGCCTCTACATCGCCTCGTAGCCGATCCAGGCAACTCAAGGCCTCATCGGCCGAGGCAGCCTTTTGCTCAACTTCCTTCAGCCGAGCTATCTCCTGCTGCCGCCTTTTGTGGCTCTCCATCAGCATGAAGGCCGCCTGCACAAAACAATACAGTTAGGACGACGAGGACATGAAAATAACAAAAAATGAAAATGACAAAGTATGGAAGGGCAACTTACTTGGACAAGATTGTCCATCCCACCGTCATAAATCCAGATGTCACCCAACCCATTGAGGTACGTCCGGTCTTCGTCGGGAATGGCTTGGGAGATCACCTCGTGGCCGCCAATGATCTCATTGAATACCCCACCCTTCACGGGATACTCAACTTCGAGTTTGTAGGTCCCTCGGACCAGCTCCTTGCCAGACCCTTTCTTCCGGGAGCCTCGAGTATTAAGGGGAGGCTGGGAGACAGCAGCAGACGATGGACCAGAAGTGAGGTCCACAATAACATCAGCATTGGAGCCTCCATCGTCCCCAGCTAGGACGGTTATGTAACACCCTAAAAAATTAAAATAGAAATATAATAATAAAACAAAATAAAAGCAAATCAGATATAACCTATCTGATAAAAATGAATATTTTAAATGACTTTATCAGTACTCACGTTAAATAATATTCTGATAATAAAAGTACTTTTTATAAGTCTTAGACTTTGGGTATAGTAGAGTGTACAATTACGTGTACAAAGTTAAAAATATTACTATTCAAATAAAATATAGAGTATTATTGAAGTGATTTTAAAAGCTACTACATACGGAGTACATAATACCCATACTACATACGGAATACACATCATGATACATACATGTATGAGTGTATGACATACATACATACATACATCATTAATACTTACAAGTAACGTATATGCATGAATATATATGCATAGCGGGCAACAAAAGCTTAAAGCTTGACTAGGTGTATAGTAACGGACGTAGTACACATTACTTACACATACATTACATACATACAGATACGTAATACACTCATACATACATCACATGGCATAAATGATATCTACATGATAACCATAACGCCCGGCCATCCATTATTGCTATAAATACAAACTTAAAGCTTGACTAGTAACGGGCGACGGAGATTGGAAAACAAACGGGCACAACTCGAAGCATATTAACGAATATATATGACCATCTACGAAATAATGAATGGCCCCAAAAACTGAGCTGCGAAAATATACATGCTACCTACGAAGTACTCCGTATTAAACATACACGTACGTTCGTACGAACGAAGGGCAGAAACCAAACCAAACACAATTTGGTGTTTTGTTACTCCTGTGGTGATGAAGTGAAGAGGGAGCTTCTCGGAGAAGTCTACACCGTCGTATCTGGAGGAGTGAAGCCGGGGACAAAGGGAGCTGTCGGAGTGCCATTTGGGGGGTGACGGAGGAAGGAGGAACCACGTTGATGTCTTCGCCGGAGTGAAGAGATCTTTGACTGATCCGCCGGACCAAGCTGCTGTCGTCGAGTAGCTGCGTTGCCGGTGCCAGTTTACGAAGAAGACAACAAACACGTACGTATACTCTGTATATATATATACTCCGTAATGTTAATTCAAACTTAGAGTATAATAGTTTATGGACTAATACGTATTAATAATTTATGGGCTATTATATAGATGGGAATTTTGTAAAGGGGACTAATACATACGTATAACAGTTTGTGAAATACTAGAATAATAATGTGGGGAATTTATAAACAAAGGATAGAAGAAATAAACTATAATTGGATAAGATGTTGATATTAGAAATTGCAATATTCTTAGAAGGTGATTTTTGGAGAAGATCGACATAGAAGTTTCGGTTAGGAGTTATCGTGATTTGAGGTAAGTTTCTCTGGCAATCTAAAATCATTTCCTCGTATTATATATGTACTATGTGATACGTGATTTTAGTGTGAGTTATGATGTATATGCATGTGATTTTGAAGTTGTTCGATCTGTGATATTTGAGAAGTGAAACTAAGTGCGTTTGGGTATTAAATATTTTATTTAAACATTTTCGAGGCAGTTTGAGAAATTGAGAAATATTTTGAGATATATTAATTCAAGATAAAAGAATGATTTCATAAAGAGGTAGGCATCTCGGGAGTAATCTGGGGTGTCGGTTTTCCACGTCCCTTAAAATGTGGAGGGTGGTTAGGGCTACTACTAAGAAGAAGAGATTTTTGAGTAACTTCCGGATCGATGATCCCTTTTAAGAAGCAGAGTTGTAGTAGTAGTAGTCCCTAATCATTCAGAGATATCTTATTCAGGTGTAGTTGGTAGACTGAGTCCCGACTACTCGGGACGACTTACTACTCGGAGGGCTTGGAATCCCTTTTAGGGAGTGTGCACACTTAAGGTAGTCATTTCTTTTCCACAAGAGCGTTGTGGTACCGGCATTGATCGGGGTGGCCGTCCGTAACCACGGTTCACCGGGCTCAGCCGAAAGGTTGAGCACCGCCCTTCTAAATTACTAGGAAGTTAGTGAAGAAGAGATTTTTGAGAATTTTTAAGAGAAGAGTTATTATAATATTTCCGAAGAAAAGTTGAGGATTTTAGTAAAGAAGAAATTTTGAGAAGAATCAAAGAGAAAAGAATTTTGGTGGAGTGTGTTATTTTTATATAGTATTATATGGAAAAAAACTATTTTCGCCAAACCTGATTATTTTACGGGGTTGGGTAGTACTTACTCAGCTCTAAAGCTGATTTTTGTTATTTTTCTTGTCCCTATCTCCCCCATTTATATTTTAACAGGTGACGAGTTGGATGTTTATGATGATTGATGGATTGCATGCGATTGAGAGCGAATTAGAAGATGCCTTAGTCAAACCTAGTCAAGAAATAAACATTTATTTATTATGACATTAGTTTTATTGTTTTGTTTTGGTTTGCCTGTGCATTCGGTTAAGAGATGACCGGATGTGGCAGTAACACCCATTTCCCTATTAAGACTTCCGCTATATCTCTGATGTTTTCAAATAAAGTTGATAATTCCTTTGAATAAATCATCATTTAAATGTATTTTTGGGCGGGAAAAATGGGGGTGTTACAGGTTAGAGCTCCGGCATCAGCATCGGGCGAAGGAGAAGCCTTCCTCGACTTCTTGGAAGGCTGCAAACCAGCCTCAGTCAGCTTCTTCTGACCGTCATCCACCGGCCGCTTCTTCTTCGGCTGAGTGGGCGGTTTCTTCATCTGATTAGCGCTCGGCTGGGCTCCACCAGCCGATGCCTGCTTGGCAGCAACTCCACGACCGCCCTCTGGGAAGCCCTCTCCACGAAGGATGTACGATTCATGATGAAGTCTTCACAACAAAAAATGACAAAAGTCAGCAAACAAGGAATTAAACAAAGGAAGACCAAGGGGGCTTAGAGGGTATTACCATCGACCTCAACATGGACACCCAAGTAGGGCCCACCGGCCTCCTCAAAAGACGTGATCATCTTCGGCCACAAGTTATCATCTTCATCGTCTCCATAAATGAAGTATCTAACGAAGCCGAGGGAGGCCATCTTGTACTCAGTGATGTAGTCCTTCACGCTCCTCCGCCCGTCCTTCAAAAATTCCTCCACCTGACAGTTGATGATTGCACTCTTCGGCGCCTCGTGGAGATTGAACGATCCTGTGTGACCAACAGAGGGGAACTCAACCCCCCCTTCACCCAACGATACAAAGAAAAATTTGCTCTTCCAGTCATGAATGGACGTCGGAAGATCCTTGAAGGACCTCCTATTCTTGATCTGCTGAAGATTGGCATAGCCGGCGCAGTTCTTATGGCTTCCTCGGCCGATTTGATACAAATTCATAAAGAGAGTCGTCATCGGCTCGATGCTCAACTCCGCGCAGCGCAGCAGGAACCCGACAATCAGTGAGTAGCTGTTCGGGGTCAGCAAGGCCGGAGGAAGACCTACCATATCTAAATACTCCGTGATGAATGGATGAAGGGGGAACTTGAGCCCCTTGGCAAAGCTCACTGGGCACACCCCAAAGTACCCCATCGGAGGATTCAGCACGTGATCCGTCGGCCTGGGCGCCCTAACCCTACCATGTTGCTCTGCGCCCTGATGATGTATAGGTTGGCAAGATCCAGGAAGGACACACCTGGACCCTTCTTCGGCTGACGCCTCCTCTTCGATGGAACACCCACTGCGGGACCTTTCCCCTTGACGGCAGAAATCGGGTCAGGGCATGGAATGGCAGCCAACGTAGAGGCCCCGTCCATTGCAGGAGAGGCCCCTGCATCCTCACCCTCTGACGACGAGGCGACATCCTCGTCCATGTTCTCCTCGTCCCCCTGCTCCCCCAATCTGAATGGGCTCAGCTCCTCGATCTCCTCACAACACTCTACCACTACTTGGTAATCAAGGGACTTAGCAGAGACCTCGTCGTCGTACGGGCAGTACTCTTAGTTCAAAGACTTCACCATAACTATTCAAGCCCTAAGAGGGATTACTTGGGATCTAAGATGTTTCTTGATTAACACTAGATCAAATCCTAAGGGATCAAAAGATATGAAAACACAGAAGAACAAGAGAAGAACTAACCTTGAAGATCGTTGAAGAACGAAGAACACTCGAGCAAGATTCTCTCTCTAGAAAACTGGGCAGCACTTCGTTAGCTCATATCAAAAATGGGGATTTCACTTCGGAGGGGAGGGTTATTTATAGACCTCCTCCCAACAGTCACTACATGTGGCACCCCCCAGTGGTCACACGAACGGTCACCACCCAAAGACCAATGAGGTGCCACCGCTTCAACTGATGGGCCAGGCCCACTTCCAGCACTATCAGCCCACTCCCAAGGGATACGCGACGGTTCAACGGACCAACAAATTGTGCCTACACCGGCCAAAATATTCAACGGCCACACCAAAGGAGAGATATGATCGCTTCACGCTTACAAATTGGGACCACGTCGACCTCAACGGTTAACCTTACTCCAACTGCTCCCCACATATTAGGACGACACCTCGGCATCAAAACATCCATGGTGTGCCTGTATCGGCCGAACAAATCACGAACAACATGGCCTCTTCAACGGCCACAAAGCAAGGTAGGGTAGGACCTAACAGCCATCGGCCCTTGTATGAAACCTACTGCTGATAACCTTTTAAAAGCGACCTGCATCCAAGGGTTCTCCCACAGGGTTACCTTGGTCAGGAATCGCCAAGAGGTTGGATTCAGGGGAAATACGAGGATCCCGTTTCGGCCTGGGGTTTTACTTTACTCCTTCACCCCTCACTCATCCTTCAACTTGAAGCAGTGGGGGACTGGGGGACTA